AGACTAAAGGCAAAGGTGTAAATGCGATATTAGAAGGTTGATCTCTAATGTATTCTGATTCTTTGCCCATATTATCTCTCTCTCTTCTCTCTCTTCTCTCTCTCTCTCTCTCTCTCTCTCTCTCTCTCTCTCTCTCTCTCTCTCTCTATATTATATATATATATATATATATATATATATATATATATATATATTATATATATAATATATATATTATATATATATATATTATAATATATATATAATATATATATAATATATATATATATATTATATATATATATAATATATATATTTATTATCTTATATCCCTCCCTACATCCCATACTTCCTCCCTCCTCCCTCCCTCCCTACCTCCCTATATTTCACCCTTCCTTCCCTCTCATCCTTCCCTCCTTCCTTCCTTCCCTCCATCCCTTTTCCCTCTGTATTTCCTTCCCTCCAACACCAAGTTACACCGCCCATCACCACCCACGATCGAGGGTTTAGGAGCTGTAACGCAGAGGAGAGTATGGTGGAAACTTCTCTAGATAAACACATGTTACAAATATAACCCGGCCGTTCTTTCTAACAAGTTGGCATTAATGCGAACCCCACCCGCTTCTTCTCCCTCCCTCCCCCCCTTTCCCTCTAGGCTTTCTCCCTCCCTTCCCTCCCTTCCCTTCCTCTTTCATGTCGTTCCTCTCACTTTTACCCTAACCCTTCCCCTTCCACTTACCCTTTCACTTCTGCTTCCACTTCCCTTTCCCTTCCCCTTCCCCTTCCCCTCCATTTCCCTTCCCTTTCCCCATCTCTTCCCCTTTTCTCATCTCCTTATTCATCCTTGATCCTCTCCGTCCCCTCTCCCTCCCCCCCATTTCAGTATTACGTCCCCTCCCTTTAATCCTTTCCCTTCCCTCTTCCTTTCTTTCCCCCTGCTCCAGCCCATCCCTCCCCTCTCCCTAACCCTTCCCTGTTTTCTTCCCCTTCTTCTCCAAACTTTCCCCTTTCCCCCCCTGTCCCCCATCCCTTCTTCCAATCCCTCCTCCTTCACCCTTCCCCCCCTTCCTTGCCTCCTTTCCCCTCCTCTTCTCTTCTCGCTCCCTTCCTCCTCTCTTCTCCTCTTCTGGTATCCCTTTCACCCCCTTTCGCCTTCCACCACTCAGAGTAACGTCAGTAATCCTGAGAAGAGTGGGTGGGTTTCTCACTGACTTGGCAGCTATGACTTAAACGTATTTATATACATATAAATAAGCGTTAATGCAATTTCCCCACCGCGTAAATAAGTATTGAGACAGTTATCCGTTTAAAGAACGTGGAGGAGGAGGGACTGGGGGGCCTGGATGGGGGGAGGAGGAGGACGAGGGATATGCTAAATCGGGTTCCTGGGTGCGATTTGCGAGGGAGTTGAGGTACTTTATGAATCTAATTTTATTTTCTTCCACTTCGAACTCTTTTCTTTCTTTTTGGACTCACTCACTCTCTCTCTCTCTCTTCTCTCTCTCTCTCTCCTCTCTCTCTCTCTCTCTCTCTTCTCTTTCCTCTCTTTCCTCTTCTCCTTTCTCCTCTCTTCCTCTCTCCTTCCTCCTTCCCTCCCTTCTCTTCCCTCCCTCACACTTTACCTTAGTCGCCTCCTTCCCACTCTCCCTCTCCCCCTACCCCTCTCATTCCTTCCCACCCTCCCCTCCTCTCCTCCCTTCCCATTACCTCTCCCCTTCCTCGCCCCCCCTCTTTCTCCTCCATTTTCCTCATTCCTTACCGTCCCAACTGATCGTTAATTCCGACACACCTGACGCTGCCACTATCTGTGCCTTCGCGAACGCTTAGCCTGACTGGTTGCTGGCACTTCGGCTTTACATATGTCATCCCCAGGACCTGATCTCACCGATTGATTGATAAGAATTGAAGTGGATGGCTGACGCAGACTAGACAAATGTTTTGGACTGTATATAAGAGACGATATATACCGGAGTGAAGACTGGACCTAAATCGGACTTCGTCTCGTGGATTTTTATTTCTGATTCTTTGCTCAATATATTTCAATGAGTTAGTGCTTTTATTATCGACAACATCTATAATCAATGGAACATTGACATGACCTGTACATGCCCGCCTTTTGCGATAAGATTATCCATGGAGTTTGACACTCATAATGCACACTGAATCTGACTGCATTCTAGTTATTCCCTGACGAATATTTATTCCCAATTGGTGATTAAGTGCTGAGACAGGACTGACGAACAGACACGAGGCGATTCAACTAACAATGGACTCAGATAAATGTTAATAGTAAAAGTAATGATAACTTCAAGCTATATATGAGGGGGCTGTTCCGAGGCCCTAGGCGCAGAAATGATAACACCTTGACAATGCTATGTCTATGTAATATGCTTTCTTATTTGTATCCTCATTCGGCTGCTCATCTCTCGATACTGCTTTTATCGCTTATTTGGCTTTGTTTTGATTTATAAATCCATGCTTTATATCTCCATCATCATCACCAGCGTCATTGATGCATCACTTGTATTCTGCATTCATTATTACACATTGATCATCTGTCAGTTGTCGAGCGAACCTCTCATTCATCTACACAGGCAATGACTGCAACATTTATCTCTCGTGTCAAAGCACGACGAAAAGGAAGAGTACTTAACAGGTCGATAACATCCTTTACAGCTTGCTCCTCTTACTTGTCACCAATTCCTTAGAAATTACCGTCTTTTCATCTCGTTGATTGTTGAGGTTCATGATTATAAATCAAAATGTATTCTATCTAGTAGGCATTCTTAAAGACTTTCTAAATTCAAAAATTAAATGATATATTAGTATCACTTGATAGTAAATTTCGTTCTATGGCTCTTGTCCAAATTTCGGACCAAGCCCGTTTTCTGTAGCACATTATAGCAGCAAGGTTTTAACAAGAGCAATGGAACCGTGTTGGCGCTTTTCGCTTTACGGACATAACTCGCATAGAAGATTAGCATAATGACAAAATATCAGCTAATTTTCTCATTTGTTTGTTCGTCTATCACGTACTGGTACGATGTGCCACACCACATCTATCACAGGTGTGTAATTCTGCACTATATAAGTACATACACTCACACATACACACACACACTATCACACGACCCCACCACGTCTGCTAGCAGGTATCTTCTTATCCTTGCCACGGCGGACAGCCATAGTTACAGTTTTCAATGCGATGGATCAAACCATCATTTCATCTGCATTTCCGCGGACGACGGAATTTGCCGGACGGATGACAGAAACGAGAGCGCGGGGGAAAGGTCAGAAGAATTTCTTACACAGAAGAAAATGATTTGAAAAGAAGTTAAGCGTGCGCGGAAGTTAACCCAAAGACATTCACACCTCTCTGCGGGCGTAAAACGTGTTCCCAGCGCAGGACCGTCCAATAACATACACTCAGATCAATGATATATCTGCTACCCGCCTCCTAACGAATTTATCTAAACTAACTCATATCACGACATTAAATAGGCATACGTAACTGAGATTAATACTATAATAATTATGAATAGTCAACATCCAATAAGGATCAATAATGAAGCAGACTCATATAATAGACATAAATCAACTAAGTATAGCACTACCAATTACTAGCAAATATAACATAAGTTAAGACATACTAACTACCATAATAGATCGCAGCTACTGAGTGGTCGGATGAGTACCGCGCGGCTAGTACTATGATCAAGTACTACGCCTACATACTAAGATCACCCTATATGACTACCGTACTATACATATTCATATGATAGACACTAAGTTCTTCAACTATAACCTATCATAAAACTAACTCTTAACTCACTCATATACAGGGCATATACATACTAAACCTATCAATAAGTTATGTATAGATAACTACCACTGGTAGTATAGATATGTAAAGATGATCACTTATATACCTTTATATAATATTATATTAATATAGGTAGAAGTATAATTAATGATCCGACTATTACATCATATACCTACTACATACCATAGGACCCTAGACCTTACATAATACTACGCTACAACTCACCTATATATTAGAATAACTACAACAGTACAACCCCGATAATTTATATATCTCACTGGTAATCCTAGTAGGTGCGTATTAGTGAGACCGTACGGTTGTAATACCATATATATATATGAGTGTGATATTAGTTAGGTGTGAGGGTTTAGGTAGTTAGTTATATAGCGTGTATGAGTACCCTTACTTAGCCTCACGTCAGATATTTGCCGACCGAGAGGCAGGGGTAGCTTGAATAGTGATGTGTGGTGTAGAGTATAATTACGTGTTCTTTATACGCTACGCTACAGACAACATCACCTACACAGAGTAACTACATGAGCTACATACGAACCTCACTGACGAGATATAGTACTATACTATTATAATATAGACAATCCAAATAGACCTCATACATGACATCGAATACTTACCTACAAATTATGCTTATCACGTCAGTTCCCTATACGCATCACGCGTGTAAACGGTGTACATGACTCCTACCTTATACGTACTACTAGCTACATCATACCATTGCACTAATACGTCAGAGTACACATATAATATCTAACACGATGATATAGAATATCCGATACCCACCAACACACAGCCAGCACACATACCACCCACCA